TGAATTGGAGGCATACAAGAAGAAGATGTGATGCGCAGGCGATCTCGTACGTACATATAGACTAACCCACCAAGCAGACAGAGCAGCAGAAGCTAGCTAGGTTGGCGAAGAGAAAGGGACAGAGAAATATGTACAGCTGAAAATGAATAGCCAGAATTGACTGGTTGTGGAGCTGGGAGATCATATCTAAGCACACACTCGTGTGATGTGATTTGATTAAATTAAGCAATGAACGTAGACATTATTGAAAGGCCAAGGAGCCTCGTCCATATACGTCTCACCTTCGCTGCCATATATATTGGTAGGCCATGTCTGCCCATTTCCCAACCTCTTTTCCTCAGGCCTTAGCTGTTAATTCAATTCAATTAATTAATCAATTTATTAACTCTGATTTCGTCCATATTCACCTCATATTCATCATCTCCACTCTTTCTATGCCCTTTTCTTCCTTCTCATTCTAATTCTATTATTTTAATTTGAGACCCGGCTGGCTACTTCGTGAGAGGACCCTTGATGGGATTCAAAATTAAAGGGGTTGATTTCACGATCATCATCAATTACTACGTACCTAGCTATCAAATTCATTTGATCGATGCAACTTTAAATGGTTGGGTTAAAATGTAAATTTTTTTTCCCGATTCTTACATGCCCGGTCATGACATTCAACTGTTAAAAATGACAAAGGGAAAGCATCGATCAAACCATTTGTGATTGCGAAATACACATTGATTGCTTAGTATTTATTCACCTTGCTTATATTTTCCTTCGTTTTCCCCCTATTCACATAGCCCTCAACGATATATATTTAGAATATAATTTATCATCTTTAATTTCCATTATTGTTTCTTGCATCGCATGCAAGCGTTTTATATAAATGATGGCCTGATGCCCAAAAAAAAAAAATTTGCTTGGCATTATTACTAATTATTAATTGAATAAACTAATAGGTATCGGCAAAACCGTGAAGTAGGATGTAGATTAAAGTTGACATAAGGGAAACAGCTCATGTGCACACAGAAGAGAAGATAAGCTTCCCAATCACCAGCGTCTGAAGAGATTATATATATATATATATATATATATATATAATTTTGAACTATCTTTTTCCACTTGCCGCCCTCTTTCTTTTGGGGATTATATATTGAAATAGCCTGTTAAAGTTATTTATAATAAAAATGATTCGTATTATTACAAATGTCAAATGGGACATCGCTAAGAGTCAAGGGGGCATCATCATTGCGCTGCAACCAGGCAACTTATTATAATACACAAAGCAAAAGATTCACTCCTCATATTTTAATTTCCCTTTCGTTTCTGAAAGCTCTCTGGTTTTTTATTTTACTATATTTTTGTGTACTTTTATCTCTTGCATTTTTTTAATAATTTAAATTAAGAGAAAGAAAAATCAGACAGAGGATGCCTTCGGCTGTCCGTCTGTAAGCATGCAAGCACAGTTCCTCGGAAATATTATTTGCTTCCGCAAGCCACAGAATGAGTGTCGTCCTCCGTGATTCTTTAATTTATATATATGTAAATATCCGTCAACTTGAGTTTGATCTCTTTTTTTTAAATGCTTCGGTGTGAAGATCGCTTATTTTATTAATTAAACTCTCTGCTAATTGGATATTAAGCAGAAAAGGACTCTGTTAACCTCAGAAAACCATTTTCATAATTATGATGATAATGATTCTGAATTTAAATCTCTTTCTTGATTATAAGCAGCAGATATTAACACTTTAACAGACGCTTAATTTCAGTCTGAAATTTTAAATACGTCTCGATTCCAATTAAGTCGATCACAGATGTACTTATCTGGTTCAGCGATTCATGTGGTTTTCAATTGGGATAATGGCATGTAAGATTCTCTCAAGAAAATTTACGGCCATAAAGGCCATTGGTTTAAGCCTTTCTCAAAAGAATTTATCACAATAAACACGTATGTCATAATTATATTGAGTCGATCACAGCAATATAATATGTTATTGTTAAAAACTATATCTTAATTTGTTAAATTTTTAAGGAAATACTAACAAAAAAAAAGATACAAGCTAAGGTTTAATTTTTAACAATATATATATATATATTTACAAAATACAATATTCAATATAAAATTGATGAACTTTTATTATAATAAATTTTTTTAAAAAATTCTTAAATGTCATTTTCCTTTTTCAATTTCTTGAAGGTAAAGTGATAAAAATACTCATCAGTGGATTCACTAATTGGTGTTGGGGGACTCAAACATGGAAAAAAAAAATGAGAACACGGGGGAAAAAATGTGAGGGAGGGCCCAAAAATATGGGGTGCATATTAGTCCTAATTACGTGGACATCAGACCACAGCATAGCACGTGTACGCATTCTCATTTGTGTGGTCTTCGCTCTCAATGGATCCACTCACTAATTTGTACAACCTTTCAACATCACCTAAATCAATACACAACTACTAAATGCGAAGTCAATTTTCATAAGTCACGTACGCAAGATTTTTTTCCTCTGCCTAATTGAGCTTTTAGGTAGCGTCAGTTCAAACCGTATCAGTGTATACATTAGGTGATTGCATTAATTTTGTTCGCCCACGACATTTTCATCACTCGAAGAGATTTCTTTTTCTTTTTTTGTCTTTTTAAAAGTACTCTTTCAATTTTAAATTATACAATATTTTTAAAAAAGATTTAACATTTCAAAATATATGACATTTTGATAAAAAAATATTTTATTAATTATATTTTTTTAATATTATCCTTATCATATAATATCTCTTTTTAATATTCTTTCATCAATGAATTATTAAATAAAAAATATTTTTAAAAATTTATATTCTTATTTTAAAAAAGTAAGGTTGTGAAATTTATACAACGAACTTTATTGATATATAAAATTTTATTTAAAAATATCATATAATTTAAAATGGAATAGAATACTATGGGGTGCACGTAGGAGATTGATCCGAGTCAATTAAACATGGTGATTAAAATAAAACTATTCTCTAATGATTAAGATTGATATAAAAAATTTCCCTGTGCCATATAGATGTCGAGCTTATTATTCCACTTTTGAGATTTTCCAAAATTTGTTGATGGTGCTTCCCAGAGATCAAACAGTTTGAAGCAGGGCCACAGTATCTCGACAGCTAATGATATGCAATAATTCATTGGAACGTCAAATTTATGTCTGAGTCTCGGTGTGTGTGCATTTTTAACATTCCATATATTTTCTTACTAATTACCAGTGACCAATGTAATATGTTGTAACATTATGCCGTCCATTCTGCTTCTGCATTGCCTATTAGGTTATTAGGTCTTCCTCATTTTCTCTCCTCTTTCTAGTTCTATGTCTGAAGAATATTCTTTCCATGGATTTTGTATATATAAGTATACAGGTTTCTCTTATCGTGCTTAGATTTTTTTATAAAAGCGAGAAAAAAAGCTCAAAAAAAAATACAGGAAGCTAAAGGAAAGGAGAAAAAGAAGAGATAACATGAATAACTTGAAGCACGATGCTCCCCTTTTATCCCCCACTCTTTATTGGCCTTTTGATATAACAATTCAAAATACACCAAGTTCAACTTTAAAACGGCATCTTTTTCTTGTAAGCCTGGCCTTGTATTAAACATCATATTAATCATTGTTTCTTCAATGAAACTGCCGTACAAAATGAACGCATTGCACACGTTAAGGGCAAACCAGAGATAACTGTTGTGTGCTATTTTTTTTTGACATTCTTTTTTAAAAGAGATACAATATATTAACAGTCAGTGCATGGTCCATGTGATTAATCATTAAACAATGGAGCACACATATGATTAATTGAACTTCAACTTGTGAAAATTAAAGAAAAATTGCACATGCGATGACCATATATGCCGGTGGGATGGTTGTGGAGTTTATGAGAATTTAATAAAAACCATCACCAAATTAATAATTAAGTGAATCAATATTATGGCGCCCAATAGTTTGTTGTCCATTATTAAAAGTGGAAGCCTCATTATTGAGAAAAAGATACTTTGTTAATTAGAGTCATAGCCCTATGATGTTTAACACGGTTAAGATATTAGATTCTAATAGAATACGTCTCCAAATTAAAGTGTTTTTGGCCATTGCATATGCGTCTATCTACGTGACCCCTCATCGCTATAAATCAAGCCATTGAGTTCCATTCTTGCTTGGTAGGACAAGTGTCTATATTTTAAAGAAGTACAGGCAAAAGTGGAACTGTGAAACTTTTATCCTTCAAAATGGAAACTACGGTCAGAAATAATTCATTAACAGCCTTTACTGGATTTCAACAATCATATAGGATAACACGCATCTTTGAAAAAAAACATTGAAATATATATATATATTCTGATCTTTCCACGTAATGATGGAACCTTTAAAAGAAATCATAGCATGAATGAAACTATGAATTAATTGCCGTAACTTTTTCCTCCAAAAATTAAAGATCCCGAATTTCCTAGTAAGAGTAACGTATCAGAGGGACAAATGTATGTATAATGTACATATGGCCGGAAAACTCTGGTGCATGATTGTGTATTAAGGGACTGTTTGGTAATTAAAATTGAATAAGGGGTAGAGAAAGAAGAGGGTATTACTTTGTCTGTTAGTTTCTGTTAAACAGTTAAGACCTGAGCTCCAAGCATTGGGATGTTTTCAGATAACGTTTTTCTGTTCGTGAATCCTGAATGAATAAAATATCAGCGAAAATGTCCCACCATTGATGCTAGAGACATCAAAACTTACACTTCCGACAAGACTTATGATATACTGTTATCAACCCATTTCCTCTCCTACCCAAAATGAACCTTCCTCCCTCCTTGCAACACGCATACTATATATTATATCATCTTTTTCCTTTTCTAAAAGAAAAGAAAAGAGATTAAAGAAAAAGAAACGGAAAAAAACCTTATTGACTATGACTTTTCTCCCGCGGGGCCTCGCTCTTTTATTAAATTCAACTCCTTTTATCAGCTGCAACTTCATTTTCAAGCCTTCATTTCAAATATCATATATATCCCCTCATTCTCTCTGATATATCCTCTTTATCACAGTGCATCATCCTTGAGCTTTGGTTGCTCAGTGCCACTCTTGTGCTGACATTTTCCCCTAGGAATCGTCAAGAAACTTTCTGTTATTGGAAAAGGGATATCATTCCCCTCATTGTAGAGGTGGGGCTATCTGCCAATGGGGAGGCACTCTTGCTGCTACAAGCAAAAGCTTCGCAAGGGTCTCTGGTCCCCTGAAGAGGATGAGAAGCTCCTCAGGCATATCACTAAGTACGGCCATGGCTGCTGGAGCTCTGTTCCTAAGCAAGCAGGTTTATATATATGCGCGCGCGCGCGCGCCATCACTTTCTCTTTCCACAGCTTCTTCTTCGTCTATCTCCCTCATCGTAACCAATTGTATTGGCAGGCTTGCAGAGATGTGGAAAGAGCTGTAGGCTGAGGTGGATCAACTACTTGAGGCCTGATCTGAAGAGAGGCACATTCTCACAGGAAGAGGAAAACCTCATCATTGAGCTTCATGCAGTTTTAGGGAATAGGCATGTTTCTCGATCGCTTTCTTTTCATCTACAATTGGGTGGTCGTATCATAATTTCTGGGTTAGTTAATCAACTTTATATCTGCTCGGGTTTTCAGATGGTCTCAAATTGCAGCGCAGCTTCCGGGGAGAACGGACAATGAAATAAAGAATCTGTGGAATTCATGCCTCAAGAAGAAGCTGAGGCAAAGAGGGATAGACCCTGTTACCCACAAACCACTGTCCGAGGTTGAAAATGGAGGTCAGGACAGAGATGGGGAGAAAGTTGCAGCACTTAGTTCCAATGAACTGAACCTGCTGAAATCAGAAAGCTCCAAGTCCGATGGAGCTTCCTATGAGCAGAAACCTTGTTCAAGTATTGCCCCTAAAGCCTATGCACATGACATGGAAGGTTCTTCTTCCACCTCCAAGATGAACACCAGAAGCAGCACTAGTTTCATCCCCGATTGTTCCAGTAAAGACCTGTTCCTGGACAGGTTCATCCCCAGTAGTCACCAGGAAAGCTACACCACTTCAGATTTGATGACGAATTTCCCCATTCACATGACCTATAACAATCCATCGACTGACCCTTCTCGTTGGTTCGCTCAAACTGGAGGAAGACCATTTGATATCAATACCGAATTTGCCTCCAGCGCCGCGTCCACTGTTTTTCCACTTTCAACCCCTTCATTTCTCCCTACTTCTGTTTGCTATAAGCCTTCTCTCCCAGTTCCATCAGATGATATTTCTACAGGTTCCTTCTCTGTGAATGAATCCCAGTACTGGGAAGCCGGTGCTTCCAACCACAGCAATAGAAACAGCCCTTTAAACTTGCAGAACAATATTGTTTCTTGGGGGTTGACAGATTGCGGCGGTACTGCTAAAGAGACTCATCAGATTAATATGATGGAGAGTCAGACAGAAGAAGCTAGGTGGGCTGAATATCTTCATAGTAACCCAATCTTAATGCTGGCTTCTGTACAGAATCAAGGTCCAGAATCCTTATGCAACGAAGTAAAGCCGGCCTCGCATTTGGTACCCGATGCTTTAGGAGCTATTTTGCCTCGCCACAAGCAGCAAGATCATCAATCCTTTCAAACTTCTACTATATTCTCAAAGGACATCCAGAAGCTCACTGCAGCTTTCGGACATATATAGCAGACTCTATGTTATAGAAATTCTCTATTCGAGGGGGCTTCCAGAGGATTGATCCATGTTCTCTTCTTGATCAGTACACAGGTGTGCGTCACAGATTTTGCTCTTTGTACATAGGCCTGATACAACCATTCCTTTCATCCCCTTCATTTTGGTAATATTTGTGAGCCGACCCATTTTCCCTTTTGCCTTTTTCTTTTCTTATCCTTCTTCCTCGGGTGTGGGGTAAATTGTAGAATAAGGATTGATCTGCTGTCATGCTGTCTGTCGTCTTTCTATCTCATCTTTGCAGACTCTGTGAGTGCACTGCGATGGTAGTGCATTTTCTATATCTAAGCCAACCAAATGTTTATTGAGGCACCAGAATCTTTCTTCTTCTTCGTTTTATTTTCTTTATTTTTCTTTTCAATGTCAGGGGATTGATTACTTTATCCGAACCAGTTATTTTAAATTCCAAGTTCAAACTAAGAAATAGCACAAAACTCGTGGAACGAGCAATTTATCCAAGCGGTACCTCTGTCCATCGTTTTCACTTCCATAATACCCTTCACCCTTTTCCCTTGCTTTCCTTGGAACTTTTAATTTAACTTGCGCTATATATTATGCGGTTGGTGTGTACCTTCCAAACGAAACCAGCGTTTCTGACTCGGTCATTTTCGCCCCTTCTCTTTCTTTTGATTTCCCCTCTCATCAAGAAAAGGACACGACCCGATCGAAGCCTCAAAGATAATTAAAAAACAAAAGGAAAAAAAAATGAAAAGACCATTCTCTCCTTGTCTGATTCTGGAAATTGATAATCATCACGTCTCAGATGAACTATGGTATTTGATATTATAAAGACTAAAGAGGACCGATCAATTCAGTTCTCTTGCAATGTATGTATCTTTCAGGGACAGAGCCGTTGAGTCATGGACGCACAGTGAGACTTGGACGGTCATGTGTCGAGGATGGCACCACTCGATGAAAGTTACTCACGTTCGATCCGTACAATGAGATAGTGACTCCCGAGCGAATAAAGGCCATTTGTTTTGCGTTCGCGTCTTGTTGCTCTTTTAAGACAACTTTAAACATGATCGTCAACAACGCATCGGAAGCAAGAAACTTCCAATCCAACACAGTTGAATTTGCATCGTCGTGATATAGTTTTTTTTTCGGGCTCAAATCCACACCACACACCCGCTACTTCCTTGAGCATGAAATTAATGGTAGAAAAGGCAAAGTGTCACGGCATAAGCAATGAATTAAAAAGAGAGTTGAAATTTGAGAGGCCATTTAAAATCATGAATGATATACAGTATCTTAAAGAGGGGAGAAGAAAGCGCTGATGAGTGCTGTTAGAGAGACAATCGTACATGGGCCCTGTGGTCACTGACGCTTGCCAGGATATACTATCAATAGTAGCGACTCATCCTCATAATACTGTTACTTGCGTTGTCTCTTTTGTTTGTCTGCAAGTTTTTATCCCCAGCACGTTATTGCCACGTACATTTTTTTAAAATTTTATCTAACAAAATTACTTTGTTTTGTTTTACTTTAAATTTTATTTCTTTGTTTTTTGTACTTTCATTTTATTCAAATTTTCCTTACACTCGCACATCGGAAAGTTTCAAAAATCAAGCGAGAGAATTATTGAGTAAATTTTTAAATCACATTACACGACTTTATTTCTCGATTTATATTTAAAAAAAATGAAACAACTATTTACTTCTGAGCTTCAATGACTGGTATTTCATAACTAATTATACGTGGAGAGAACAAAATGTGATTTACTTCCTGAATAAATTCCCACACGAATGAAATTTAAGAGAGAAGAAATGAGCATGGAAAAGTTAGCTTTCTCTGCAGTCTGCAGTAGCATATAAGTACATGATTTGTTTGGAACAAATGTATATAAGTACCGGATTAGTACCCACAGAAATTCTACCTTTTCTGATAAAAGGAAAAGAAAAGGAAAATAATTAAACTGCACCTTTCCATTTGAAACTCGAAAGTACAGCACCAGGAACATCCATAGCTCATATAGACGAAAAGATTATTCAGCCACGTCTAACGTCTTAGTGATTCAATGGCATGTTGCGCTAAATTATGGGTCTGCTGCGTCAACATATGTGAGTCTCCGATTATTCAGCTCTATTGTGACGTTCCACCAGCCCTGAACTCCGCAGTAGCCCACTCTTAACCCAAAAATAACTGTGACCCCGGCCCATGTTTATTTCTGGGCCGGGTTCCTACGAGGGTGGTAAGTGGAAGCCCAGCCCATGTCTATCTTTTCATCAACGTTCTCCTTTTAGCGGGAGAACTAGTTCGGTTTCGTTCAGAACAGAACGCTACCAACAGTGGAATTGTTTCGTGTCTTTCTCTGCCTACTTTGCTTCAAGCCTAGAACGAGACAAGGCACACACGTATACAAATTAATTCTGCTTGCTGACCCTGTTTAAGTGCAAGTGTATACAGTACACCTAAAAGAAATAGCAAATTGTCCCTCCTTGCAGCCGCGGTCACTTTTCGTCGTTGAAATTGTGGTCTCGATCTCAAATCTTATATGTAGATTTATTAAAAATAGGTTGTAGGTTTATTGCGACCATTTTTTCCCTCGTTACCCAAGGCCTGCCGACGGATAAAAAAAGTATAGAAGTCATTGTCTTGGGATTTAGTTAATGGAGAAAATAAGGTGTTAGCGATACTTGTGGGCCATGACATGAGGTGGCGAATCGCAAAAGCAGTAGATTTGGATTCAAGGAATGGTGAGGAGAGGACAAAAAGGAGGAGGGAGGACTTGGTCTGCCGTGTAGAAAATGAGAAATGTTATTCCCGGAAAGGGCGACACGAGGACGCTGTTGATGGAGCGCAAATGTTAGTGTCAATGTCACCGAAGCCATTGGAATCACCATTCCCTACTGAATTTCTGCCCATGACGATATCTATCTTATCTGATTCCCGTGGCTCCCAAGCCCAACGCCTTGCACTTTCCTCCACCGACCTCCGTTTATTTCTTTAATATAGACTTCAGAAAAGCCTAAAACTTTGGGTTCGTTATCATTGGATGACTGTTGAATTTTGGTGCGGGACTCTCTCTCACTCTCTGTCCCGTGAGTTTATGTTTCTGCTGTCAGAGTCTGATACTTTGACCAATATACGAGCATTTCAGTCATGCCAGTGACCTCAATGATCGCCTGCTTAATAGCTAAGCTACTGGTACTGCTATAAATCAAAACTGTTTGTAAATCGTGGTAAAGCTATCGTGCCTTTAAAAAAAAAAAATTCAGAATATTTATTAAGAATTAAACTAAACTGTATTCTTAATAAACTTTATAATAATTAACTCTTTTTATAAAAATTAAATATAATTCTTGCTCTTTTTTTTAAAGTAAATAGAGCGCTATCTTATCTTTATTACTTTGTATGTAGAAGAATGAACATTTTTAGAGAAGTGGCTTATGATGATATGTGAAGAAGTTTGCGGCCCAAAGATAACATTATTTGAGAGGTTTAATGTCTTACTATTTATTTATTTTTATATAATTTTTCTGGTTTTTGAAGCTGCAAAATCATATATTTAAATTTTATAATCAAATAATTTTAACATTTTACTTTTAATAAATAATATAACTAATTCATTTAATTTTAAAAAAAATTCTTTGAGTAGCATTAAATGTTAGTGGTATTATCAATAATTCTTTCTAAGTAATGTATTTGCAAAAGAGTTTAATCTTTTAATATAGTATATACATGTTACCTTTCTAATTAAATAATTGTTGACATTGCGAATGAGAATGACAAGTGTAATGAAATGTGAAGCAGTAAATTTTTAATATAATATATAATTAATATTAATACTTGGTGTAAAAACGATAGCGGGTTATATAAAGTATAGAAGCAATGAATAAATGTTTAATAAAAATATTTAACAATTAATTGGCATCATCTTACAAAAAAAGCATAATAATAATTGATCGTATGAGATATAAATAAATTTTTTAAAAGCCTGCTGCCATGGCCTTAATGGCCGCACACACGGCCCTGACGACGTTTTGGACTTTTTGTTTTTTCAATTTAAATGTTATTAAAGATTGTTTTTTGGGAGAATAACTGTTAAATTTTAAAATATTAAATTAATATTAGTTAAGTTTCCATCAAATTTTTCAAAAAAATAAGTTTAAAATATCAATACAAATTATTATAAATTTAAGAGTTTTAGTTACAAACAAATATTTAAATATCAAATATAATTTTTATTTATAATTATTCAAATTAATATTTATAATTTATCTTGTAAAAAAATTTATCAAGGGCCTAATCATTATTAATTCATTCTTTCAGATTTAATTGTCATTTTTTTTTAGTTTTTTTTTTCCAGTAACATCTAATCGCTAGCAAGTGGGATTTTTTTTTTTTTTTTAACCTTGGGCAAGACTGCAGAAGCAGGATATTATGCCGGCTGTTGTAAAAATAGGCAAATAAATACGGTTATAAAATGCGAAAACAATGCTAATGATTAAAGGAGATAAATGAACATTTATAAAGAGAATGGTCAATTTAAATTATGAGATTGAGAACTATGATTCATGAAAATTTTAGAGGGTATAATAATCCTTACATTTATAGTATACATTACTGAGTTTTATCATACTTATTATGAGAGGAAAGATGATTAAGTTTATTTTTATCTTAATTTTTTAATTCATTTCATCTCATTGTACTCTAATAAACAAATGTAACTTAAATTCTCGGTAAACCAGCAATGAAAGAAGACGAGTAAATAAAAGAAATCTATTTTCGTGATGGTGTGTGGGTGTGCATTCATAAAATAGTTTTTGCTCGAGTTTATTCCCATGGCTGGGAATATCCAACAGGATTTCAGGAAATCAAAGAGGAAAAAGACTGGTGGCGGATTGCTTGTTGAGAGAAAATATCAATAATAATATCTTATAATAAATATAAAATTATTATCAATAAAGACATTTAAAAAAAATAAAGATTATACTTTAAAAAATTAAAAATATTTTATATTTTTTAACGAAGGGAGTGTATAATAAGTTAACAGCATAACATGAATTTAAGGAAGGGATATTGGCCAGGAAAAAAAAAGAATGATATATTAATGATTTTTTTAAAAAAGCCAACAAATAAATAAATTAGACAAGTATATTACTTTGACGTTAGAAATCAACTAAATCATGAAAAATTTAATTGGACTGGATATTTAGACCTTTTGAAACAGTGACAGATCCAGAAAAATTAATTTATGGGGGTAAAATTTGTGCATAAGTTAAATATTAATATTAATATTATCACTCAATTAATTATAATTTTTATTAAATTATATTAAATATAAAATTTATTAAAATTAAATTCTATTA